TGCATCAGAAAATGAGTGCCTGGATGGGGATACCTTTGGAGAAAAAAGAGCTATGTGAAATTCGATAAAAGCGTAAGGCCCACTTATATGATGGTGGGAAAATTGATCTACCATTCCTCTATTGTCTTAAACAAAATGGGCTGATCACATTTCATACATGCTCTTTACTTCGTTTCAAAGCGCACTTTGAACGGATACTTGAAATGGCCTGTTTGGACACCGAACGACAAATTGCCTAACAGTCATGGCAACTGAATTGGGCGAAAACGTACTTGGCTCCACTTTCTGTCGCCCGTAAAGGATAAGTAAGCATGAGCTGGCAAAAAAATCACCCAAAAGGATGCTTTCCTGCTTCGACGCGGCCCAGGTCTTCTTCGCACGCTTCGGCGAGGCCAATTTAAGCCGCCTTTTTTAAATGGACTCAAACATATGCCAACCTCATTAGAATTTAGAGGATTTATCGAAACCCAGCTTTTGTTGCCATGTCTAAATTGCCAGAGTCTAGACTCGAGCCGAGTTAGGCTCGAGACCCGCCAGCACAATCGGACTGGCTGAACGTCCGAGACTCGGTGGGCCGGTGCCGAGAAGACCTCCAATCTGGACTCGCTTCAACACGTCTCCATCTGCATGCATCACCGGCATCCTCGAGTCCAGCCTCGTTTGGAGTCGACTTTCAGACCCAACCAACACCAACTCGTCATGAGCAGGTGACGGGTATCAACTCAGCTGGCAGATGGGCTGACTGAATCTCCTCCGCATTAGTTGCCTCGGCAAGAATGAGGAAGAATGTCAGCGACACGCGCCGATATGGGGTTCAGGGATGAGATCATACATTTTGTGTGTACGCTTCCGTGTGTGTGTTTGTGTTTGTGTGTGTGTGTGTGTGTGTATAGGCATAGGGGCTAAGGGCTGTACTTGCGAATGCTTGTTTGTGTGTGTGTGTGCATTTTGCAGTATGTGGTCATGGCTAATGAATGCCGACCGACTGCGACCTAAACGACCTCTCCCCCTGCGGGGGTGTGAATGTGAAGCGAGGGGCAAATGTGGAAATGGAAATCAGAACACAAAGTGATCATTTTAAATGTCAGATCTGTCATGTGGCCAGCACATCGGGCACTGGCACACTGGCCGGGCCTAAGAGGCTCGACATGTGGCATCCAACGCGGCTAGGCAAAAGAAAAGATGGCCATAGAGCGTGTGCTATGGCGGCGTGGTCATCTGTATCATCTCGTTCACACAAACACACAGACGAGCAGAAGACAGCACACTGGCACAGAGGCGCAGGCCGACAGGGCCAGGCAGAGGTCGGCGGGGGCGTCAAAGGTGTGCAGGGGGCATAGCAACTGTGATATCACTGGTCTGCTGGTGTACATGCGGACGGGTGGGCATGCACTCGAGGCCGTATTGACGGGCGGGAAATGCTTTTTCAATGTGCTGTACTGTCGCGGAGGGTCGGTGATAAGCCTCGGTCGACCCGCCAATTATGGCATTGTCACATGCTGTCGTCTGTCCGGCTTCAAGCTGCCTCTGCATCGTCTTGCCGTCCCTCTTTTTCTCTCCCCATCCTACACCGCTTAACCTCGGCTCAACACTCGCTCTTTCCTGGCACTCTTTGGCCCAACCGACGACAGTCGCAATGACCAGTCGGCCTGGCGACCATGTTAGACTATTGTTGGGCTTACTTCCGTTTCGAGTAGAAGTGTTTTTGGTGAAGAGAT